CAAATATATGAATCATATTGCGATCTATCTCGACATGATATACTTCTTAATTAGCATAGTCTACAGAGTGAGTATTTATCATAACCCCTATATAGATATAGCAGTATTTTCTTTTAGTATATTTCAACTAATGCCTAGATAATATGAATACTAATTCGGATGCTTCATCTTATCAACTTTAATTTGTATTTGTCTAAAGTAAATGGAAATTGCTAATAATGCGAATTGAGTCTTTTGTTTGGGTAAAATAATGCCAATTGTGAGTTGTTCAGTGAAATATTTTCTTATAGTATTCTTATGCTCATCATTATTTGCCTTAGATGATTGTACCGTTGGTGTGGTTGATGGTGTAAGCAACTGATGACATTCGAAACTTTATTACTTTTGTTAAATCAACGACTGGATCAAGTTGGTCCATCTCATAATAATGCTTGAAACCTGTTGGTCCATTTCTGCACTAACTAGTGATCAGTAATCAAGAATGGGCTAGAATTTCTGTTCGATAATTTAATTTGGATTTCTAAAATCTAGGTCTAGGTAGTGTTCTTACAAGCTTGGGAATTGACATAAATGACTCAACTTTAATAAAACCCTTTATAAACTTAATTTCTGTAGTGTTTTTTGTAATTTTCCAAAGTTAAGTCATAACTTAGGTCACAACTTAGGTCACATTGGTAAATAGAAACTACTTCACATATACTAATTAAGATATGATAGATTACTGAATCAGTTCTAAAATTCATTTATAAAAAAAAAAAGTCATAACTTAAGTCACATTGGTAAATAGAAACTACTTCACATCTACTAATTAAGATATGATAGATTACCGAACCAGTTCTAAAATTCATGGGATAAAATATATATTTTTCATCAATTTAGAAATCACATAATATATGCGAATATTTTGTTTAGCTGTACTTAGAACATCGGTCGTACTCGCACAAATGATATATGAGTGAGAAACGTCAGAGAAGAACCTTGAAACTTCCGGACATATATTCCTTAACAAGAGCAGGAACAGAGAGACTGAGCGGCAGTGTAAGTGGGACCTTGATGCTGGGTAATTGGGCAACACGTGACGGCATGGCAAAGGAATAATTTGGAGAAATCGAGGAAAGATAAATTGATAGAGGAAGTGGTTTGCAACCATATTGGTTTTTGCATGTGGTGTCTCACTCACAGTCAGAGTTTCATACTCTTTTAACTTTTTTTTCCTTCTTTTGTTTTTTGTAAACTAACTTTTCTTCATTATTTGTTTACATTATAGTAAGATCTATCTATTTCAAAATAATATCTGACAAAAACATTAGAATCAAATTATCTTCCACTCTAGTTTGGTTGTAATTATCGGCATATATGAAGAGAGGATATATATACAAGACATTCGTATGATATATTATGTATTTATGACCACTTGTGTCTTGTACATCATGTAAGCTGCCATCAATTAGAACTATTTTAGTTTCTTACAAAAACAGCTTGCATGCTCTGAGTCTGATAGTTAAGCACACTAACCAAGAGACGTGTATTAAATAAACGAAAAGAAGATTTAGGATCGAATTAGAGATTTTGAGGCACTATTCCCAAAGGGACCCGCATATATACTTGCCTCCATCTTCAAGCAAAGCATCAAAGCGTAGATTCCCATGCAGCTCTTTCTTTTTAGCTTTTGTTCCCTTTTTATTTAATTTAATACTAGATCTTTGGAGTTTTCTTTTGCTTGTTTCCACTTTCGTTAAAATTTCTCTCGACTTCAGAAAACGGATTCGTTTTACGATCCATACTCTTTTTTTTATTCACTTACTACAATGTGATCTTCATACTCAAACGTATGATCTCTTTTTATCTGTTTCTTTTTCTTCGAAAGTTTCTTTTAACTAATATTGGCTGGTTTATCAGAAGTATACGCTATGCTTTTAATTCATTGAAAAAAAGTTCAGTTTTACATGTACGATAATTTATTAAAAGATAAACCCTCTCAAAGTATAAATTCTTCTCACTCGCAATAACCATAACCTTTGGTTAAGAAAATTACAGTCTCTTTCTGACTATGTTAGTCGATTTTTGTTTGGCAATTTTATTATTCGGAAAATATATTGAGATCACGGTAATCAGAAAACCAAGAGACGTGTCTAAAATAGTGTCAATACAAAGAAAGAACGAATACATGCGACACTAAATCAATGTGTAATTATGCCCACCGGTCGGGTAACTGTAGGGCCAATATGCAAACTCAATCTTTCAAGGATTCTTACATGAGTATCTCCTATATGAAAAAAAAAGAACCCAATCAAAAGTATCTCAAATGATAAGGGATTTGCACAAGAAAATGAAAAAAATTCATTTTTTAAATGATGAATTCTATGTTTTTCAGTGAAAATGATCCGTAACCATCTCTCATTCACTAACTCTTCTCAGACATCAAGCTTCTGATCAGTCCCAATATATCTTCCCTCAAATGGTTAACCAAATCCGGTACAGTCTCCTTCACATCAGTAAACCACAACTCATCCCGGTCCTTCACTCCTCCAGAGCTAAACCATTGGCATATAACCTTAGCAACTGCAAGAAGGTAAACCCCACAGTCATACCCATTCTTCTGCTGAGGCATATCACTACATTCTCTGTATATCGCATCTCCATCAGACACAAAGGGAGAAACCGCCTTGAATAGCTGTTTTGCACTCCATTTATTCAGTCCCATCAAGCTGTCGTGATGGAAAAACGAGTTGGATTCTTTGTAGTACACGAGTAAGCTCCAGTGTAACCCTCCTTCTGCTTGCTCAACATTGGTATTGTCGTTGACAGGGAATATCAGGAGGTCGCTGTCGAGTAAACTAAGGGGTTTGATGAAGTCTTTGAGTGATTCTGTGTCGGGACAGTTTGAGATCCAGAAGGCAATGGAAGGAGGGATTAGTGAGATGGTTGGCGAAGTGTGGACTGTGGATAAGTAGCTTAGGTAGAACTCAATGACACGGTCGTTTAGGAAATTGGGTCCGTTTAGGATGTCCAAATCTGATCTCCTGAGGACAACATCGTTGTAGCTGAGGATCTTGTCGTCATCTGAACTGTATCCCATGGCAAACACTCGAAGAATCTAGAATAAACCTGCAATATAGACAAAAGGTCAATGAGCAACCTTTATGTTAGTTAACGTTTTTGTGACTTGAGTGTATAATACAAGATACATGAACTTTGCGTTCAAGTGGAGTGTGTTTGTAACTGTTTCTTCTTAATATTGCGTAGTTCACACACAAACAGAAGCGTAAGCAAACACCTAAATGCATCTCATATGGCGAACATACCGAACTCATATTCTCAAGAAAACAGATAGAGTTAACGTGTGTAACAAGAAAAGGCATCAAACAAAGTGTTGTTCAAACCAAAACATTCGTTCAGGCTTTTCGTCGAACAGTTTGCGTTCACTATAATAATGGTTCCTTAGAAGAAACACAAACATAAAAAAGTTTTCTTACACAATATATACATCCAAACGAAACAAGTGGTTGTACACAAATTGAATCAACAGAAAATTAATTGGAATAAAAGTAACAGAAAAATCTCAATCAGGGAATAGAAACTTGGTAAACATTCACACACGATTAGCAACGAACTAATGAATCACCAGTTACCTTGAATCTTTTTATCTATACGTGATTCCTGACAAGAGATCAATCCAAGCCTTGAAAAAAAAAAAAACTGTAATCGGAGTTACATATAAATAATAATCCAGAAAGAATGAAAACAGACATGTGGGGGAATATGAAGAAACGAAGGCTGATTTGGTGTATCAAATGGAAAACGAATCGAAGTAAGGCCCATGATCTCAGATTACGCCCAAGAGCCCAACGTCAGCCCAATATTGGAACTTTTAGAAGCCAAGGCAATCGGGGGACCAATCGAGTTTCGGTTTGCATTCAATCGGGTTTTGGATTTTTGGGTTTCCGAAAATCAACTCCATGCAGATATTATAATAGTTCACTTCGGTATCGGTTCGGATTTTATTGGGTTCGGTTCGGATTTTGTAACTTTGGCTAAACCCGGTTGAACCCGAAATATTTACGGGTTTCAGTTCTTAAATGGTTGTTTGATTATTAAGCACTAATTTGTATTCGGTTTGACTAAAACAAAGCATGGTGATTAGCAAAAGAAAATCTACTAATGGTGTTGTTAGTTAGGTTCGCATGACAATCTGGTTTAGCAGTGAATTGTATTACACTAACAAAACAAACATTCTTTTTGACGTTTTGCTGGGTCTTCTGATTTCATAGTTACATGTATGCCGATCAGTCTAATCTAGTTATTAACAAGTTGAGCTAAACTCAACAAAAAAAATGCTATATAAATCTAAAGACTTTTGATCAAACAGTACGAAGAACATACAAATATATATTGTAGCACAAAGGTGAAAGACAAAAGAGGCTAAGATTAGACATAAAGTTGTGTCTCGGTCGGGTTTCAGATTTTAAACCGATCCGAAGACATCTATTATAACTCAAAATAGGAACCATTTGATTTATTAAAAAGATCTGAAACCAACCCATATCGGCTTAATCGGACCAGGTTCCGATCGGTTGTTTGGTTCTTGGATATATTGCCAAGACCTAGTCTCACCAGAACCGAGAACGGAGTGGAGAACGGAGTGGAGAACGGAGTGGAGAACGGCTTCCGTCGCCTTGACCACAATAAAACCTTTCAATCTACAATTCATCATGTTTTTTTTCTCAATCTTCTGAAATTTTGAAGGAGTTTTCAAAGGCATAATTGATGACTTATATGTGTATATGATATTCAAAAATTTCATGTAATTGATCTATCATTTATTGATTAACTAGTACTCCTACGTTTCAATATAAATTCATTTTAACATTTTTCACGAAAATTAAAAACATGGTATAATAAATTAATATTTTCATTTAATATTTGATTAATTAAATAAAAATAATTCAAATAAAAATTTATTGATTATTTAAAAGGGTAGCAAATAAATCTAAGGTACAAAACTGTATTAGATTATAGATTAGTACTTATTTTGAAACAAGAAAATAAACCTAAATGACACTTCATATCAAATAGACGGAGTAGTATCTTATTAAAATAAATTTTAATGATTTATTATGAAATACACAAAAATAACTTTCTGGGTATAACTGAATATACTTAAATTTTTAATATAGGGTTAAAGGTTTACACGTGTTTCAGTTCATACTAGGGTTTACGTATTCAAAAGAACGTTCCCGTTTCCCACCGCTCTGATCATAGGCGCAAGTCTATGGAACCTCTCGAACTCCCCCTATCTCGCGCCGACCCTACGACTAAGCTCCGTCTGAAAGTCCCAGAGACGGATCCTGGATGGTAACTCTTTTTTGTTTGTTTGTTTAACTTTTGGGATATCTGGGTCGAAGTCCAATTCTAATTCCCAAAAGAACAATCCTGAAGACTAGTCTTGTTCCTGATTTTTAATGAGGTCTAAAGCATAGTTTCATTTTTATCTGACCAGGCAAATGGTATTTTAACTCAAGATTTGAATCTACCGGTTTACATCTCGCCCCAACCTTTTCTCTTATCCCCATACTGCTTGGTTATGGATGGTAAGTTGTACAAGTAAGAAATGCAAGAGGAAGAATGTAATTGTGCAACTCATAGCCATGCGGAATTGGTTGGAACTTGGAAGTTGAGACTCGTTCTCTGCTGCAATGTTTCAAAGGAGCAGTTGGGCAGATCTCTCAATCTTATATGCTTAATCAAACTTTATGGAGACACCATGTGTGTGCTTTTATGTAAGACACTCAACCATATATTTTGGCGCATGTCCTTTTCTTAATGACCAACCTGCGTCATTCACTATTAACTTTTTTCTCGAAAATGAAATGAATATGTGATGCTGGTTATATGGAGAGGACGTATAGTCTATATTATAACAACTTCTCTCACGGTAAAAACTTGTAAAACCCGCACATTTTCATTTGTATATATACTTTACTATATAGTCGATTTCTTTTGTATTGTTTGTAATGTGTGTATTCGATATATCTGTCCAGTTCTACAGATCATAAATGTTGCATTTGCTCATCAAAGGATTGATGAAGTCGACAAGATAACAAAGAAGGTTAGTACAAAAACAAGTTTTCCTCGTGCTGGTCTAGCAAAACTTGAATAGTACTTTCTGTGCTTCTTATTAGATGAAAATTTTCTTTTTTATAAACAAAAAGAAAGATGGAAATTTTCTTTGGACCTTTTTTGCCAGGCAAAAATAAAATCTTACACATCAGCAGAGGTTATTACGAGAAGTTGTTCAATAATCACTACCAAAAATGCTGGAAAGAACAGTAAGTTTACATTTTAAGTGATGCTGGTAGGAGCCTGAAGCTTAGCTCTTGCTCGTGTAACTGGTAGTCCCTCTATGGTGATAGAGAGAAAATTTGAATATTAAGCTACTTTAACCCTAACATCTCCCTTGAGAATTAAATTAATTGCTGCACGATAGTTTTTAGAGTCATCTCACCATAAAACATTTCTTACTTAGCTATATGGAAGACTACTATCCGACTTTTCATAATTCCAACATTACCTCTATGTTTATACACAGTTTAGGATTGACACCTAGATTTGAAAAATCTTTCATGTACATGCTATTCTATTACGAACCTACAATAATATACATACTAGTTTCTTACACACAAACGAAAAGTATACAAAATGCCAAAAAACTATTTTTTTCTAAAAATATTTATTTTCTTAGTTCTTTTGTTTAGTATGTTCTTCTACTTTTTTTTTTTGTTTAAATTTGGTTCTTCATCTTATCTCTATGAGATTCTTATCTAAAATAATTCAAAATACCAATTTATTTGAATGTATCTGATATTTCAAATCTCTTATCCGATTAAGATTAAAGTTGAAGATGGAAAAGGACAAACCGTCGTCTTCTTTGTGGTGAAAACAATTGGATATTCAACACATATATTTTGAATATATAAACTTAAAATAAATTATCTCACACGAGCAAATACATAAATTTATAAAATAACTACAACCCCTCTTATATATATATTTAACCAGATTTCTTACCATATATCTGGTAATATTAACCAACTAATATATATAAATCCGATTAACCTAGCCAAAAACAGTATCTCAACAAGGTTAGTATCGTCCATGCAGTAGTATTTCATAACTAGTTACCCAAATATGAAAATACTATAACTAGATACCTAACTAAACTAATTACGTACATCAAAATAAAACTGAAAGTAAAAGTAATATTCGTAACATAGTTCGCCCTAGTTTCTCTCCCGGGTTCGAGACTCGAGGCGACACATCTGAGCTATCTTCTCGACGCCGGTGGCGGCGTTGCTTGCCGGTGTCGCCTTGGCTTCTACGCTCTCATGGCTCTCTTACTCCACGTTCACATCTTGGTCTTCTTTTCTGCTATGTTCATCGTCCTTTTGCTTCTTTGCTTTACCTCAAGCCTCGTCTCCAATCCTGATGAGTCTCATCCGGGTCTGTCGACTATTGTCTCCGCCGTTTGTGCTTACAGATCTGTTCTTCACCAACCAGTTCTCTCATCTTCACTGCCATTCCTGTCACCTTCACCTTCCGGTCTCGATATGGCCTCTATCAGGCAAGCTACTCTGCGCTTCATATCGACTCACTAGTTCTGGGTGCAAGAGTGTTGTTTCGCCAGATTTATTCACGACTATTTCACTACTGCGTCTCTGTCACATTATGCCGTCTCAAGCATCGACAGTTCTTCACAAAGCTGGATTTGTGGCCTTTTTGATCTCCTTGTCGCTACCTTATTGTGCAAGAGTGTGGACTCGCCAGATTTACAAGCTATACCATTGTTGCGCTTCTTCCATCACAATACGTCGTCTCAAGCATCGACGGTTCTTCACAGAGTCAACTACGTGACCTTCAAACCAGAGTGGTGGCTCGTAGATCCAACCAATCCGAAGCTTTACCTTTTATCCAATGTTTGCTCACACACGTTCTGGTTGAACGAGTGCGATGACAATATGCTTAGGTTTCTGGTCATAAATTATTGGAATTGATACAGTAATATTGAGTTACGAAGTTTGAACCTAATTCAACCATCAGCTTTGTCATCAAACTTTATCCTAAGCGCCTCTTTGAAGGCAAAGCTGGAGCTCGAGATTCACCTAGTCTCTTCGGTAAGTCTTGTTAGGTTTAAAGTTGATTATGCTAGTTTCACTGCCATATCAAGTCAGGTAGGACTTCGTACTCTCAATGTTTCCTACGGTTCGTGAGCTTCTCACCTAAAGTTCTTGTCAGTCAACATTTCAACACCGCCGTTTTCGACTATCAATTGTTCTTTCGAACAATCGCCATGGAAACAAAAGTGGAGCTTCCTTTTGGGTTTCTTCATTTCGCTGAGCAAGACTCACCCTGAGATGGTTTTATCTTCACTTATTTCGTAATGTTTTTTAGTTTTGTTTTACTGTTGAGTCTAACTCCAGAATCTTCTGCTTCATTTATAAACGTTGATGCTCGTTGAGCCTTTTATAATATAAGTTGTGTTACCAAAAAAAAAAGATACCTAACTAAACTTTCATTTTACGTTATACAGCGCCAATACTTTAGTTTTTAATGATAATAAAACTCTTTTATTTTGGGTACCTACAAGAATCATAACCCAAAAGCAAAACGGAAAATACGATAGACATAAAAGGAAAAGGAAAACACACAAACTATGTTCCTAGTGAAAGAAAAGAAGTACTTCTTTTCCTTTGGTATTTTCTCTATTGTGTATTAGATGCTGGAAATTAAAAACCTATATTAGACTGTAGAATCACCAAAGGAAGTCATGTATACTATGTTTACTTTGTGAGCTATGCATGCAAACAAAGATCTCAATACTTTAACGTTCCTTTGGGTCTGAGTTTAGATTTGATCATTCACTATTGAGATAATATTTCATTTCTACTTAACAGAACTGATTGTAATATGATTTTCTACTAGAAACTACAAACAGTGTTTGAATCCCACTGCGTCAAAAAGAAAAAAAAATTGAATCCCACTAAGCTTTCCCTTTGGTTTGCACTTGTGTTTAATCAAATTTTGTCTCTCAAAGTGAACGGACGTATGCCCAGCCAATGCGGTAAGGTCAAGGAAACTGGTAAATCATTTTATATGCAGAAGAAAACACACATTTTAACCAACACGTTACAATAACACAAAGATCTTTGACTATCAAACTAATTTTTCCTTTGATCTATACAATTCATAATCTAATCCATCTACAAGCTGAGAAAGCTGAATAACATCTTTTCATATTTCATGAAGATACGGGGATATTTGATAGCTTCATCTAAAATACAGCAATCTCTATATATCCTTCTTTCATTTGGTCAAAGAATTTCCTTTGTTATATGAAAACAGAAAAATGATGTTTAATTAGAGCACTTCCATTGGTGATTTCTAATAGAATATCTAAGAACACCCCCATCAGTGGATTCACACAGATTCCCAAAAAAATATATTAAAATAATATATAGTGATGAACTTGTCTCCTGCAAGGTATGGGCAGTGAATCTGTTTCATCATTGTTTCATGGGCCTCACGCTATATGACGGTCTACGATTGGTTCAGTTAATTTTTTTTAAATCAAACGAAAAAAATAATAAAAAATAAATCTTTTTTTTGGAATATGTGTGAACTTCTAAAATACATCAATCTCTATCTATCATCCTTTCATTTGGTTAAAGAATTTTCTTTGTTATATGAAAACAGAAAATGATGTTTAATTAGAGCACTTTCATTGATGATTTCTAATAGAATATCTAAGAGCACCCCCATCGACACAAATTCCCAAAAAAATATATTAAAATAATGTATAGTGATGAACTTGTCTCCTGCGAGGTCTCGGCAGTGAACCTGTTTCATCACTGTTTCGTGGACTTCACGCCATATGGCGCTCCACGATTGGTTCAGTTAATTATTTTTTAAATCAAAGGAAAAAAATAATAATTTTTTTTTTTTTGGAATCTGTGTGAACTTCTCCCCCTCCTCCCCCCCTTTACCCGTTTTATCATTGTTTTATGGGCCTCATGGTACTCCACGATTGGTTTAGTTATTTTTTTAAAAATCAAACGAAAAATAATAAAAAATAAATTCTTTTTTTGGAATCTGTGTGAACTTCTCCCCCCCCCCCTTCCCCAATAGATTCGGGGGCCTTACGTCATATGGCGCTCCACGATTGGTTCAGTTATTTTTTTAAAAATCAAATAAATAAAATATTATAAAAATAATTTGTTTTTTTGGAATATGTGTGAATTTCTCCCCTCCTCTAATAAATTTATTGATGGAGATGCTCTAATAATGAAAAAGTTAGAGAAATTCACACATATTCCAGAGATATTATTTCTGATTTATTAGAAATTTTTTTGCCATTTGTCTTTTTGTTAATGGTCAATTGATTGTAAAATGATTTTATTAAGTAAACATATTTATTTTTCAACTTGGAAGAACTTTAGAAAAGTTCTACCAATAATAGTGCTCTTAGAGGCTCCACATAGGTAATCTAATTAAAGAATGTAATATTGTGCATTTGACAAATAATTAAAAGTTAAATCATAATATAAAAACTATATGGAAAATTAGGAAACAAAACTTTCCTTACCTAAGTAGAAAATAATGACTCTTTGACTACTATATTCATATATCTATCCCCACACCCTCCCACATATCATAGTGTATATATAACTACTACCTTCTCGACCACAAAAGCTCAAAATAAATAAAACAACATTTATAATCATTTCTCTAATTAAGATTAATTATCTCACAATGTCATTGCAAGATAAGTGTCCCTTTACCATCTCGGCCATTCACCAAGCAATGAAACATAGATGTTTCTCAAAAGGAATCTCCGCTTGCATTCCTCCTCCCGGATTCGCCCATCTGACCTCCTCACCGGTGGCATACACGCGCCGAAACGAGCTGTTCATGCAAATGACTAGCCGCAAAGGCGTGGCTCGTTATTTTGACGAGGTGGTCTCAAAGCAAGACCGTGAAGAGCTTCTGATGACGGTTTCCTTGCTGACGTCAAACTCCGATTTCTTCATGTCGGTCATCAGAAGCCAGTGCGGGTCGAGACGCGTGCAGGCGCTCCTAGGCATGTCTGATGACGTGGACGCGCTCTTTTGCGCCGCTATCTTGCGCCGTTTCCTCGACGTCATGACCAACAAGTTCGCATCCTACGTGGCGACTCAAGCTATGGTCGTTTTCGACCAGGTGAAGAAACATGAGTTGTACGGGCACGCTATCTACTACGCGCTCGACATAGCGTGTGATCACCAAGGCGGCATGGTTCTCAAAAGGGCCATAGCCGACGTGGATGATCCTATCTACAAGAATCAGCTACTAGACGTAGTCACCCGCAACGCTCTCCTAATAAGCGCCGATCGTTCAGGTAGTTTTGTGGTCCAACACGTGTTTAGCATGAATGACATGCGTTACAAGCACAACGTGGCGGTTAGTCTTCGTGGCCATTGTGTTGATCTGTCGTTTAAGAAGTATGGAAGATACGTGGTGGAGAAGCTCTTGGAGGATGAGGTGACGATGGCTGTGGTGGTTAAGGAGCTTTTAGAGTGCGATGGAGACAGGTTGATGAGTCTGGCTTCTTGTGAGTTTGGGAGTTTGGTGGTGAGTAGGGCACTGGAGGTCACGGAGGAGATGAATAGAGACGATTTGTTTTGGAGATTGGTGCGGAAGCTGATGCCTTTTCGCCACCTTTTGCTTAGGTCTCGTGTATTCAGAATTGTAAGCATCTTGGAGAGGTGTTCTATAACTAGAAGCAGCTGGAATTAAAAGTTCTCGTTTGTATTGTTGTTGTTAATTAATGCTGGAATCTTGTTAAAAGATGTTTGTCATTGATGTTTATGATAAGTATATCCCAATTTGTCTCAAGCATAATTACATAACATCGCCATTAATCCTGGAGGTTTGTCATGATCTTGTTTTTTTCGTATTTAATAGATTTACCAAATTACATCACTTTCCGTGCGAATTTTCATTTGGATCCACAAGTATAGTAAAATGCATTTCCACACCCGAAAGGTTACCCGAGAAACATGTATTTGTAGAATATATAATATGTAACGTTTAGATCCCAAAACATAATCAAGTTCGAATGGGAAGTCTATATATTATTTCAGAGGGAGAGAGAGACGAATAAGTAAGGAATAATTAACACTGCAACTAGATTGTCAAATTTTGGAATTGAATAATGTAGAATGCTCTATTCCATATGATTCCAAATTTGTTTTACCATTGTATTTTAATGAAATAGAATGCAAATTCTATTTATTGCAAAATGAATTAAACAAAATTCAAAACAAATTATTCCACAATAATTTTGTTCATTCATGAATGTAATAGATCTGTTCCATTTTTTTTTTCATATTCCATTCCTTTTTATCCCACACATTCCACAATAATTTTGTTCATTCATGAATGTAATAGATCTGTTCCATTTTTTTTCATATTTCATTCCTTTTTATCCCACATATTTCATTATGTATTTACAAAAAAAATATTCTTTTTTTCTCAAGGTTGGTCAATATAAAATTTAAGACTGGTGTAACATTAGTCAGCATTAGTTTCTCTGGTCCTTTTATCATTTGAAAAAAAAAAGAATTTAAAATATTAAAATAAAAATATAATTTTGAATTAACCATAAGTTTTCCATAATAATTACCATCAAATACCACTGGTCTTAAATACTTAAACTAGCCTAACTAAATTGACAAAATCAATTTTAAATAACATGTGTCAAAACCAACTGAACTTAAAATAACGTGTTTCAAATGATTGTCTTCTCCAGATTCATAGGTTGTTGATAGATGCAAATTATTTTGTCAACTTTGATATTTTTATGAAGAAAGGATTCATTTTTAGTTAAATTATAAAAAAAAGAATTTACATTTTGGTTTTCCACACACAATTAATTTTCTTTGTTTAGTTTCAAATTTGTTCGTGGCTGGTAAGAGGAAATCTTCCGTTCAGTCAGATTTCCAAGCATTTTTCTTTTTCAAAGTTGATGAGATTTTTCATATCCAGAGTTTCGCTCTTATCATGAATTTGTATGCTTGCGATTACCTGAGTCGATTAGATCTGTTGAAATTGTCCAAATCGACGTTAGCTAGTATTGGGTTTCGTTAAAGAATGTATGGACTTACGAACCCAGATCTTAGTCGATGATTCATATTCTTTGAATTTAGCACTAAAGGTTTTAAGATTGTTATAATCGGTTTGAAACATTTTCCTGGTATATTTTTCCGTTTAGAATATTACAAATATTGTTTACTTGACTACTTCCTTAAATTGTTCCTAATACTTTTTTTTGACATGGAAAGCTCCATATTTTATTAAGTAGCTGCCAAGAGGTTGGTCTTATGAGCCATCCAACTCGGAAACTGAATATTTACATAGGAAAAGGAGAGACCTCGAGCTCGAGCTCCTTTTGCAAGGAGATCGGCTCGGAAGTTCAGGGAACGAGAAATAAAAGATATGGAGCAAGTAGTAAACATAGAACGAATAAGATGAAACTCATCCAATTCAACCAATAAAGATGACCATTTGTCTTCGTCTTCTTCTTCAAGGATGTTAAGTAGCTGAAGGCAGTCGGTCCTGAAATTCATTGAGCTATGGTCTAACTGAATGGAGGATTTCATGAACACAAGAGAGCTTGGAACTCTGTTTGTAGGGGAGTTAAGACTCGATAACTGACAAATGAACTGAAAATCGTCACCCCATCCTCAGTCGTTAGAACCATTCCTCCACCAAAGAATTTATAACATGGTTAATGTATAACTACTGGATTAAAATTTAGCTATACCTTAAACGTAAACAAGAAAATCTAATATTAAAAAAAAAACAGAAGAAATCAAAATATCCCAATACTAATAGAAACAATATTTACAAACACACTATAATATACAATAATTAATTATATAATCGATAATAGGAAATGGAGATAACTTGGATACCTTTTCTAAACCTTATTATACATACAGTTTGTATATTATATTAACTTTCTAAACCTTATACGTACACTTTGTATATTCTGTAAATACATTTCTAAATCTTATGCATACACTTTGTTTATTCTTCAAATAGAAAACGAAAAAAACTTTCTATATATATATATATTTGGATATTTTCTCTAACTAATTTATAAAAGTAGAAACTACTTGAATTACCAAGGAGAATTATTTTCCCTAACTAGTTATTTTCTAAAATTTTATAAAAATATTGGTATACATAAATATCCGTGCCTGGTCAAAATTTAGCAGCATGACAATCAAGAAAAACGGTAAAAGAAATGTAGATTAAAAAGGTCAATTTAAAAAAAAAAAATTTGTACGTTACAGTATAAAGGTTTTAGTCCGTAGTTAGGGCTTCGTTTTTTCTCAAGAAGATGACGGCGAGGAGCAAAAAATCGGCCGTTAAAGCTTATCTACATGACGACTCCATGATTTCCATGGACGCGGAGAGTAAGGGACTTCAACATCCTCGTCGTCACGGCAATGCAGCTGAGAAAGAGTCTTGCGATATCTGACATTGATTTTAATCTCATGTTTTCAGTTGGTGATCAATGCAGTCATCGATTTTGCTTTAACTGTGTGAAGAAGCATATAGAGGTAAAACTACTTAACGGAATGGTACCGAAATGTCTTCACTATCGCTGCCAGTCTCCGTTGTCTATTGATAAATGTGGGAAGCGCTATTGACTGATCTCAAACTAAGTTTGTTGTGGGAACAGAGGATTAAAGAAGACTCAACACCTTTTAACGAGAGAGTTTATTGTCCGTACCCAAGCTGCTCTTATCTAATGTCCAAAACCGAACTTTCTTCTTCTGATGAATATGCACTTAGGAGATGCTTCAAATGCGATGGCTCTTTCTGCCTCCACAGCAAAGTTCCATGGCATAGTGCACTGTCGTGCAACGAATACAAGAAGTTGTATCCTAATCCTCAAGTTGACGAAGACTTTGCAAAGCTAGAGTTCATGGCAAAACGCAAAGCGTGGCGTCAATGTGGCAAGTGCAAACACATGATCGAACGTTCTGTCGGATGCAACGGCATAAGTTGTAGGTATGTCTCGACTTAACATCATTTTTTTTTTGAGTGAAGACTTAACATATTTGACAATCAATAAATTTGGTCTTTTTGTAAGTTTTGGCACCATGGCCGTATGTTCAAAAAAAAGTTTACTATATATTTAATGTTGTAATAAAATAATTTTAAAGTTAATATCTTTATATATTCATATTTACAGTTTTGTTTAAATTATAAACTATAAATTTAAAAAGAGTGTATAAAATTTTGATATTTTAAACTATATTTATGTATTTATTTTTGAAATTTTTTTAATATTTTTTTATTTTTAGATTTGGGTCATGTTCGACCATTCCGGAACATGCTGTTAAAGGGCCTGTTTGGCACATAGATATTGAGATTCATACTTATTTCATGGATAACCTTTTAGGTGTGGATATACTTTTTGCTACGGGTGTGGAAAGCAATGGAACGGCCGTCCCATCACCGATGCCAGCGGCGCATTGACAAGTTCGGATAAGATTATTATATTTGATAAGGCCATTGGTCGAGTTAGGGCTTCGTCTAGGAAACTATATGATATCATCCAATGTCGAGACTTTAGGGTTAATAACATATAATCTCTTGGAAATTAACCATTAAAAGCAGGCTACAATATTATTTTGGTATATTATACTTTTCATTTCCACGAGCATGATACGTTTTTGGTATATTATACTTTTCATTTCCACGTGCATGATAAGAAGAGGTAAATTTTTATATTTTGTTTTGTTGGAGTCAATAACTATTCCATCTACGGTTATAATCATTACCCTTTGACATCATTTAACTGAGGCGACCTCTTTAGTAGGATTGGGCATCATTAGTCGATACTCGCTTTATACCCATTACTTAACTCGTATTCGCCTTGAAAATCTAAGTATTCGGTGTTACCAAATCGAGTAACAAATGAACAAATTTTATTACTCGTAAAGGCAAGGCAAATATCAAGTATCATTTTATTTTTCAATATTTACCTCGTTATTTGGTATTCATTACTCGTTTTATAAATACTCATATCTCATTCTACAAAATATTCATTACTTGATAATAATACTTGTTAATTGCAAAATAATACTTGTCTTGATTTGATATTAGTTTCATACCAATATTAATTTAATAAACATGACAACTCATTACTAAATAAGATATTAAACTCGTTACTCGATTTAAACTTGGTTATTTATTATATGCATAATTATTTTTTTATAGTAATTGTATGTTTTTTTAGTAAAATAAATAAGTAAATTTTCATGTATTTTTTGGTATATGATTATTTAGTAATTAATTTTTAAATACTCAGAAATACAAGTAAATAATTCACAAATACTCGTAAGTAACAATTAATAAAGCGAGGCAAGTAATTTACAAGTAACTGATTTTTGATCAAATACTCGAGATAGCAAGTACTCGTTTTTAATAAGTCAAATACAAGTCAGAAATTTTAGTGCAAGACAAGTCAAGTATCAAATACACGTAAAATAACAAGTAATCGTCTTGCGCTTAGCCCTACTCTTTTGTAAACCGATGCTTCATCTTTGTTGACCTCCTAAGAAATCATCATCTCCACCCTCGAGATGGTGTTGTGAGTGAGGGATCAACCAAATTTTATAACGGCGGATCACTACCAAGACTAGCTACTCCTACTCTCCTCTGAATTCAAGAGCTCTTCCATATGTTCAAACTTGGTTCATCTTTATGATGATTCACATATTTATTACAAAAGGCGGTTTTCCCTTCACTATGTGCACATGAAGGTGATATTGGCCCGCTATATAGTAATTTCATGTATTCGCATAGTCCGGAGATAAACATATTACTGTGCCTGATATTATTTTCACTATTTACCATTTGATTATATCCATATAGAGTTATCACCTAGATGGAAATCTGTGTATACCAACGATGAGACTAACTAGTTATTGATATATTTATAAATTTAGCAAGAAGCTTTATATTAACCCATATAAACAGCCCTTTGTTTTTGTCCCAAATTACGATTTTAAAGAAAGTTTATTAATAGAGAGAAAAGATGTAGTTCAAAATCTAATCCATCTCCGATGAAATATATAATTAATCAATCTGGTTAAGGAATTTCCTTTGTTAAAGGGAAAAAAGGAAACTAGAGGCGACATGTGGTATGTGGAAGTCATTGATACATTTACAACAAATATATCCAGGTAGTGAATTATAAGCAAAACCTGAATATGAAAACTTCATAGCAAACAAAAACGCAAAAAGGAAACTCTAGCGGTTTATATATTTCCTTTTCCTAATAAGAAAACAAATACTCTCTCTAACAAAGTAGTATAAATATAGGTCTTCACCATAGATTCAATCCAACAAGCATTCTAACATCTCTCGAACATCTCCATAAGTTAGTCAAAGATTAATTTCTGTTACAATAGCAATGTCAGATAACAATCCGTTCAACATGTCGACCATGTACAATGCTTTACCAAATATCCGAGTCTCAGATACGCGCTTAACCCCTCTCTTTAACCTAATGACCGCCTGCGAAGGCGTGAGAGAGTTTAAAGATATGATCTCAAAGTTAGACCAAAGCCAGCTTCAGAAGACTGTGTCCTTGCTGACGTCAGACTCCGACTACTTCATGGCGGTGGTAAGAAACAAGTACGGGTCTAGACGCGTGCAGACGCTCCTCGGGTTATCAGATGACGTGGACGCGTTCCTCTACGATGCTATCTTGCGCCGCTTCTTGGACATCATGACTGATAAGTACGCGTCCTACGTGGCGCTTCGAGCTATGGTCGTTTTCGACCAGGTGAAAAACCATGTAATGTACACGCACGTTCTCCACTACGCGCTCGACATAGCGTGTAACCGACACGGCTGCATCGCGCTCAACGAGGTTATAACCGACGCGGATGATCCTCTCTACAGGAACCGGTTACTAGACGTTGTTGCGCGTAACGCGCTCTTCCTAAGCAACGATCCTTCGGGTAACTTTGTGGTGCAACACGTGCTTAAACTGTATGACTTGCGTTGCACGCGCAACGTGGCGGTTAGTCTTCGTGGACGTTGTGTTGATCTGTCGTTTAAGAAGTATGGAAGCTACATCGTGGAGAAGCTCTTGGAGGCGGAGGAGTCTTTGTTTGTTGTGGTTGTGGAGCTTTTGAAGTGCGATGTAGATAGGTTGATGAGGCTGGCGAGGAGTGAGTTTGGGAATTTCGTGGTGGCCAAGGCACTGAGAGTCACGCAGGAGATGGATGGGATTGATCTGTTTTGGGATTTGGTGCAGAAGCTGATGCCTCTTCGCCACCTTTTGGTTAGGTCTCACGGAAGCAACATTGCTAAAATCTTGGAGACTTGTTCTATAGAGCTACTAGGTGATCAAAATTGAGCGTTTTCGATTGTTTTATGGTTTATTACTGAATTCTTGTTTAAAAGGAGCTTTGTCATTAATCTTTTGTACAAGAATCCAGATTTTATTCAAATTTAGTTTTTCTTTTTTAATTTTGAAATCAAAAAATGATGAAAAACAACGATTGCATGCAGTAAGTCTAACATTATACAACTTTCAGAACTATTCGTGATGAATTTGTAAGAAAGACGGGTATGAATAATATATATAGTTAATTCAACAGTAATATTTAGTCAACTTTTGTATGTTCTGCTATAACAATTTGATTTTGTATATATGTTTAAAAAGCTTTACTGTCTTTAAAACTGAATTGAATTACAGTTTTGAATAAGAAAACAAATCAGATGCAAGGCGATACAACTTCTACATCTGTCACCGGTGGACTTGGACTCTTGACATGCATCTTGGTGTTGTCAGAATTCTCAAAATATGCAGCAATCAAACATCAACATTTTCAGCTCCTGCAATGGAGATAACATCTTTACTACCGTCCATATATTCAAACCAGTGAATAAAATAAAAGTTTTTCAGTACCTTAGAAGTTCAAAAATGCTCTTGGTGATTCTATGTTGAGGGCATGCATCTTCACTCAGCGCAGCAGTGGAAGCAGTTTCTGAGTATGATTCTTCCAACCACTTGGAACCATCCCAGAGCAAATACAGAAAAAGCAGAAAACCTCTCTTCATCCCAGAATTACATGCCATACGTTCTACTATACGCATCTCCGGGACTTGGAACCCGGAATTTCGGTTCTTCATATCCGTTGTTGTATAGGCTCCCACTGAATCCCAACCGTTCATTCCTAAGAAGCTCGGTCATGCTTAGAGAATTCACACTTTGGCTTTCATTCCACTTATCCCAGTGACCATTAGACGAGACTGGATTTGCAGATGGTTGTTGTCTTGAGTGCTGTGAGAAAGGAGATAAGCTACTTCCCTGTGCCTGATGATCCATTAGCCTTGAGTTAAATCCGTAAGGATCGATAGGTGAAGAAGATAAGTTTCTGGGATCATGATGAAACCCATTGACTTGTTGTTGTGCAGCAGACCAAGACTGCTGTCTCAACATTTGGAGTCCTGTCTCATTCCCATAAGAATTCATTTGTGATGAGAAACCTGATCTCATATCCAACTCTGCATTTACCATCCCTCTTCCAACAGCTAGAATTGCAGGATCCACAAACTCTATATCACTTGCACCACTCTGATTCCCAACTGGAGACGGTACTTGATACGCATTCCTCAGCAAAGAGGCAGAGTCAAGAAAACGAGTTCCTACAATAAAAGAGCACAATAGTTTTAGTCTATAGCATCAACCGCACTCACAGCTACCACAGAATAGAAGCAAATAAATACCTGGTGCAGTATCTGAAGATAGGCCCGCTCTTTCATGTGAAGAGAAGCCAGGAGGAGGTAACCTGCTGGGCGTAGAGAATCCTGGAGGGGCAGAAACCTGGGGCCGTGAAACTGCTACAGAGCACCAAAGAAACAAAATGGAGATGCATCAGAAAAAAAGATTCAATTCAATCAAGAAACAAAGGATAGTAATCAACTATAAATACTAACCAGGAGTCTTGTAAGATGAAAATAAAGAACTAACAGCAACATTTTCCAATCCACCGGAGTAGTTTGAAGCAAATCCATTTAGATTCCCGAGATTATCCCGATAAATATCTCGGCTCACTACAGACTCTGCAATAGGCCGATCTCTTGAAAACTGCCCATAGATGCTATGGTTCTCCCTGTCAAGTGCTTGATTAGTAGATTCTTCATACCGTGCAAAAGAAAATCTGGACTGGCTGTTATGTTGCTTCAGGAGGTTTGAAGGTTTTAGAGGACTGGATTGCTGATCAACTTTACCGAGTAACTCAGCCAAATTGTGGGATGAAGTTAAGGATTCATCCCATGGGTCAAAGTCGAGTGACAAAATATTTGAGATTATTTCATCCTCTGCACTGCGAACTTTGTTCCTGCCTTGCTCCACATTGAACATGGATTTCTCACCAAACCCATTTGGAAGCTGCAATCTATCGCTGCCTCTATCCGAAGGGAGCCTCAAGTTTGAACCGTTTATACCTGAAGATTCACAAGGTAGGGAAGAACGAGAAGACAGATGATTTGAAGCCAAAATGGAACTAGAAGAATTCGACAAAAACCGGGAGTGGGTAACATCCTCTTCACAGTGATGCCTTTGCCTATCATCAAATGATGAGATATCCTCAACATCCAATTTTGAGCTGACTTGCATCTGGGACTGCAAATCTAATCTCCAATCCCACTCTGGCCTTGTACAGGGGACCCCATTCTCTGATGGAATATTTTTTTTATCAGGGTTTATAAAGCTATCCATCTTACATTGCTCTAGATGTGACAACTTTGATAATTCATGATCAGATTGTCTAATAGAACCTTGATCACACTTGCTACCCATCGCCATTGAAATATCATGACGCTCATCTCTCGAACTTGTAGCTATCTCCATTTGTGAAACACTAATAGCTAAGTTTCCTACAGTAGAGCCATCTTGAGAAACAGCAACACGCAAGTTACCTACAGTAGGCTCATCTTCTACAGCTTCATCTGAATCGTCAGACGAGTTCACAGCAGCTGAAGGCTTTTCAATGTCTCTCCCATCGTAGGAAGAGTCGGTTGAACTGGATAACCGATTGCTAGGAGAATCTCTATCAGGTGAGGTAGTCCTTTTGGACCCAGAATCAACCACAACACTATTCTGCAAAGGCTTTAACACCCTAAACTTGCTTCTGTCAACAACTTTTTGATTTTCTTCTTTGCTTGATGGTCTTTTAAGAATGTTACTAGAGGATACAGGCCCATGAGCCGCGTTTGCAACAACAGCAGAAAAGGCCAAGGTTCCATTTACTGATGTTGTTCTTTGTATATCAGAAGATCCATTTGGGGTAACCGAAGTTGCTAGAGACTTCTGGTTTGCAATATGTGTACCCCTGCAACAGATATCCCCGTGTTATTCTATTGACAACCCAAAATAAGAAGCATCTAGTGAAAACTTACCATGACGCTGCAGCAGGAAGAGCAGTGGATCTGCTAGAGCTCCCACTCCCACTAGGTGGAGAATGCCTGGGAACACTTGCTGCATTCTGCTCACAGTAAATAAATTAAGACATAAAACTAATAAGCTCAGTAAACTGAAAGGTTTCATAAACTCGCATCATTAAGTTAGTCACAAACTAGGATTTAACAAACATGAAAGCCTTCCGATTTGTAATATTTTTGTGGTTGATTTTGGGGCCGTCTGAGGCTAGGGAGAGTATATAGAAACTAAAGCTCCTAGGAAATGGTGTGTAATCAAATCTAATTGCACATAATGTCTGGAAAGCTTAGATTTTAACGGAACTTACACTTGAAGGAACTTTTACAATTGGTTTAGCAGAAGAACTGTCACTGCAAAAAGCATCTAGTGGTGGAGGTAGCATGCTCCCTGAACGGTGCTGCAGAATGTTTGTTCCTCCAGTGATTTGCTGAACTCTACTCCTTCAAAAATTACAAAAACACTTCACTATCATTCAAAATTAGTGGACCAGCTATCATCCACATATACTAGCAAGGTAATTGATCCAAGAAGCGAACAATCATGAATGCAAGACGGAAATATAAAGATTAAGATGATAAATGTACCTTGTATGGGCAGATATGACCTCATCTTTTGTGAAACTATCCTCTTGAGAACCAACCTCGTGCAGATAGAGACAATCAGGATTAACACACGCCTGGAAACAAAAAAACATGCAATTCATCACTACAGTGACATCAATTTCAACTTTTTTTAATCTGAAAAGAAGTAACCAAAAGAAAGACTCGGGGGTCAGAAAGATGAAGACGAATCAATGGAAGGCGTACCGCATTTCTCAGCCATGCATGACAATACTTGGTTGTCCCAAAACACGCCCTGTAATATATATATATATATATATAAAAGACATCTTATCCACAATTGAATGAAAACAAACTAAAAACACTACATATATAGTTTCAAACGAAAAGGACGCGAGGTAAAACTTACTTCAGTGATTTACCATCCAAGATAAACCCATGAACGGCCTGGATGCAACGGACAGCCTCTTCCTCTTTTGCATAAGTAATATATCTGATAATAATAAAAATTATTATCAGATGAGAACAATAATGACAAGCAAAAACTCAATGAACTTCACGATAAGAGGAAAATTTTGGCTGACAGAAACGCACACACTGCATGTATCATTTGGGAATTGTTGGATGGCACCAGATGATGTTCGGGACATGGAAACCTTTAGAACTTTTCCATACTGACCGAAATACTCTTTATGATGGAGTAGCTGCAAGGAAAATGGAGCCTAGTCACATAGCAATTCACAAAGAAATGATTACAAGGGTGTAGATAAGAATTCTCATACATCTTCATCTGCTAGATTAAGAGGTAGCCCAACAATGTAAACAAGATTCCTTTGGATGACCCGCACACTAGTGAGTTGCTTTCTCCCATCAGAAGGTTTTGATTTTGACTTTTGAGTCTTCTTTATGTTGGTTTCAAAGGCCAGACTGAAAAAGGTCAACATACGCAAATCAGCAAAAGAGCATAAAGAAAGATTTTCTCAGAAAATAATAAACTCGCCAAAAAGATCACGTATAAAGCATCGTATTAGAACCTGTCGCAATCAACAGTCATCCCTACAATCTTTTCTTTGTCATATGGTGTGCGACAAGCTGGACAACGCCCTTCTATCTGATCTTTCTCTGCCATGTCCACTATGTGATGCCAGCACCAAACACAAATCTGCATCCAGTACCAAAAAAATCATTAACAGAGCAAAGATCACTGGTCAAGGAGGCCAAAAAAAGACGTGACATGGTCCCACTGAGTCACTTCTCATCACATCTATTCTATTTTGCATGCTTCACGGATAAATTGCGGCAGAAACTTTCAGCTAAAAGCTAAAAGGTTATGCTGATTATTGCTATTTAACACTGCAATAAGAACTACATGTAAATAAACAGAAAAATGAAGGGAGACCTGATAGCCACATTTGCAAGGCTTCAATTGCTGATCAGTGAGATCCATCTCTTCAGCACACAGTGGGCAAGTCTTCTCTCCTTGGTCACTCATGGTTGTCTACAAAAAGAATTCGAAATATATTTAGTCATAAAAGTTAACGCCACAGACTAAGAAAGTAGAAAAAAAAAATACAAAAGCCAAACTAATAAAACTAAAAGCCCAAGCTCATCCACCAGATCTGGCTAAAAAGCTAAAAAGGCTACACTTTTACGATTCCAACACCTACAAAATACTATGGAAACCTAAATACACATGAAGGTTGTTTGGTACCGTAAAGATAAAACATTTTCTACGCCAGAAACATCACTAATAATCAGAAGAAATGAGACTCAATGCAAACCCTAGAGTCTGTTCTATGTTTACTTCATCTCATCAAAGCTAATTAAACTCTAAACATTCAAACTTTCAGATCGATACTAAGAATAAAAAAAAAGGAATCTACGATGAAGAGCTCCTAAGAATCGATCTGCGACAGACCCCGTGACGATTCAATTTACATCGTTCAGATATAATCACAGACAAAACATATGAAACAATCAAAAATCTCAATCACAATTTTACGATCTAAACTAATTAAAAAACGATGATCCAATCAAAAACCCAGGATTAGGGTTTAGAAGGATTCAAACAGCAAGAGAAAGAGAGAAACATACGAATTGAGAAAAAGATTCGATTGGAGATTTTTTGCAGAGGGGGGAGGAGAAGAGATTTGTGAGATGAGGAGGAAAAGGGAAGCTGGAGATTTGCGAGCGAAAGAGAGAGATTGGATGGCTGTGATTTTGTGGGATGTGAGATTTCGCCTTTTTTTAACCCTTGATTTCTCCTGCCAGATCTCTCCACGTTGCTGTCTGGTTCGGTTTTATTACTAGATTCTCTCCGGTTCGGGTTTTCTAAACCGGTAGAGTTCAGCCGGTTTCTAAGAGTTTTATGTTATTACCAAAAATTGTTCTTGGAAATTTCATGTTTTACCAAAAATTTACCCAACCTTAATATACTAAAGAACTAGATGACTCGTCAACGTATATACGCAGAAATGAATACTTACAAAAAAACTGTAATAGTTATTGATATTTATTTTAGGTTTATTATTTTTCATTAAGTCTATTATTTATAAGTTAATGAGTTGTAATGTTTTGATGTATTTGATTTTGTAAAATATTCAACTTTACTATGATATTTATTTATAAATTTCTAATTTTGTTTTATTTAGTTTAGTTAGTTTCTAATCGTTTGTATAGTTATTTTAATTATAATTTCGTATTTTATTTATTTTGTTTAGTATTGGAATTTATAAATTCTTGAAATTTCAGAAATCACTTCTAAAATTTACAAACTAAAAAAACTCCAGAATTGAAAATATAATATTTAAAACCAGTTTGAAATTGCATTATTATTTAAAATAAAGAATTAAATAAAAAGTAATCAATTGAACTGAAAAAATATCAGTTTAATCAATTTATTAATCTAAAACATTAAATTATTTTTTTCTTCAAAACACATAAATATAAATTCAACTAAGACTACTTAATGTTCAGAAAAATTTCTTGTAAAAACATATTTAATGTTTTATGTTTTTTTACTGAGAACACATGATTTATTATGAATCAGGTAGGATTTTAGAAATTGAAATATCTGTATTGAAGGTTTAAATTTGAAAGAATTAGTTGTTTATTTATATAGAGATGTGAACATCTAAATGTTATAAGGTTAGTGAGTATTATAAGATTTTTTTTTTTACTTAAAAAGGAAAATTATTGATTTATAAATTTAAAATGATTCAAAATAAAAATTAAATAGTAATTATGATATTTCTAACTAACGTGAAAACTTATAAATAAGATTCTTTTACAAAAAAAAAGTATATCCTACAATAGAATATTTCTACTAAAGTATGCAAATTTCTAAATAAGAGAAAATTGTTTCAATATATTAAAAGATATTTCTGACTAACTTGATGTATTTATTTTATTAATGAGATATTAGATATATTAGTCTCATAAGAAAACTGATTTTTTGGGTTTTCATAAACAACATATTATATAGTTGGATGTATAACTGAAGATTTTTGCAACCGTCTCTACAATTTGAGACGAGATCAGGGTGTGAATTTTTAAGACAATGCCATCTGTAAATAGATATTAATCGACGTTTAAGATTTTTTGCCTTAATGTTTCTGTTATGAAGCTTTCTTAATATAGAAGAGAAGCTAAGGGAGATAAACAGAAAAGTTCTTACCTTGGAAATTTCATTAGATCTTAAGTTTTCAGAACAACTACCTCTTTTTATTTCTGATGCGTAGATTTGGATCAATGATTCTGCAAGTTTAAAATGTCATGTCGTGAAAGGTCTTGTTAATTCTTGATCATATGATACCACAAGAAGACTTCTTGCGCAAGTAAGCTTTTCACGTTGTTAGATACTACGTCTAGATCCACATATGTTTTGAATGTTTCGGTTTATAATTAGGTTATTGATCCCATTTGATCTAGGAATCTCTTGTTGGTATCGAATCTATTCATCTAATGGACGAAGCATCAACGTCGACATCAGCACCGCTGGCTGCAAAGCCAACGGTTGTTAAGAAGACAATGTCGAAGCAATTTACCGGAAAACGTGAAGATTCGCCGCTCCACTCCGCTGTAAGACGGGGAGACTTCTCTGCGGTGAAGAAGATTCTGAGTGATCATTTTGAATCAGAGGAGGAACTAAGAGAGTTGTTGCAGAAACAGAACCAATGCGGTGAGACCGCGCTTTATGTTGCGGCAGAGTATGGTGACGCTGAGGTGGTTGCAGAGCTCATCAGGTACTACGATTTAGATGATGCAGAGACCAAAGCTAGAAATGGGTTCGATCCTTTTCACATTGCTGCTAAACAAGGCGAATTAGGTATGAAATTTTGGTTTGCATGTTTTGAAAACGTTATTCATTGTAGTTACACTTTTCAGTGTATTCATAATGATTGTGATACAAAAATATAACCACAAAAAATCATTTATCAAGCTAACAATACTAAGTTTTTAATGTTTTATCATCATTATGTTAAAGCTCTGTTTAACTAATTAACTTGTTTTTGCTATTTAATCTTTGACACTTTTGATTTAATAACAGAATAAAATATTTATTTGATAGAAGTTGAAATCTTTTTTACGTTAATAGAGGTTTTGAGAGTACTAATGGAAGAACATCCGGAGCTAGCAATGACGGTGGACTTATCAAACACAACGGCTCTACACACGGCAGCAGCTCAAGGACACGTGGAGGTAGTTGAGTATCTTCTAGAAGCCGCAGGGAGTAGCCTAGCCGCGATTGCAAAGAGCAACGGCAAAACGGCATTGCACTCAGCGGCAAGAAACGGTCACGCGGAAGTGGTAAAAGCGATAGTGGCAGTTGAGCCAGACACAGCAACAAGGACCGATAAAAAAGGTCAGACGCCACTTCACATGGCGGTGAAAGGACAAAGCCTTGATGTTGTGGTTGAGCTAATGAAAGGGCATCGGTCTTCGTTGAATATGTGTGATTCTAAAGGAAACACTGCGTTACATGTTGCTACTAGGAAAGGTCGCACCAAGGTACGTTATTTCATGTTAACATGTTTTTTCTTCATACTAGCACAAAGTTTGACATGTTAAATTTGTGTTACTGTAATAAAATGATATATTGAGATTGTAATGTCATTGTAGATAGTGGAGTTGCTTCTAGAGAACAACGAGACAAGCACAAAAGCTATAAACAGAGCTGGTGAAACGCCTCTCGACACAGCCGAGAAAACAGGCCACCCCGAGCTAGCCGCGGTTCTCAAAACTCGCGGCGTTCCCTCAGCTAAATCCATCAACAACACTACTCGACCAAACCCAGCGCGTGAGCTCAAGCAAACAGTGAGCGACATCAAACACGAGGTCCACGACCAGCTAGAACACGCTCGAGAAACGAGGAAACGCGTTCAAGGAATCGCCAAACGCATAAACAAAATGCACATCGAGGGTCTCGACAACGCCATTAACTCCACCACAGTTGTCGCTGTCCTAATCGCCACAGTCGCTTTTGCCGCGATTTTCACCGTGCCGGGACAATATGCTGATGACCCGAGTTCTCTCACTCGAGGACAATCTCTTGGAGAAGCTAACATCGCGGATAACCCCGCGTTTGCGATTTTCTTTATATTTGATTCCATCGCTCTTTTTATATCTTTAGGGGTTGTCGTGGTTCAAACTTCGGTGGTTGCGATTGAGCACAAGGCGAAAAAGAATATGATGGCTATCATAAATAAGCTGATGTGGCTAGCGTGCGTTTTGATATCAGTAGCGTTTTTGGCGTTGGCGTTTGTGGTCGTTGGTGAGGACGAGAGGTGGCTAGCGGTTGGAGTAACGGTGTTTGGTGCGACGATAATGCTCACGACACTTGGGACTATGTGTTATTGGGTCATTAGGCATAGGATCGAGGCATCGAATGTAAGAAGCGCGAGGAGAGAATCAATGACGAGAACAAGACAATCAGGATTGATGGATTTTTCTGGGATTTTGACAAAGAGAATGTATGCTATTTAGTGATCAAGACACAAGTTTATGTGTTGTCTTACGTCTCGATCTTGATATCCATGAGGAATAAACCGAAGTTATTTTTTTGGAATTATTGTTTGTGTTATTTGGTTTTGAAGCCATCGTTACTAGTGTTACCATTAAAAATTAAATTTTTTTATTCTAAACAGAAAATGTCAATGATACAAAAGTTTTAAAGAAACCGTTTAAAATTTTTTAAAGTATAAACTATAAAGATATCTCAGACAAAACATGTTTTTGATGCAATTTTATTATATTTGTTAGTTGATAAGTGAATGTCGTCACCAGCTTTCCAACATAACTTACAGAAATTAACTGGCGTGACAATTTTTGTTAATGTGTTAGTGTTATTTTATTTTGTCATTAAATACTAAACCATTTATTTTTGGAACTGCAAGTTTGTAACGATATACTTTTGTCAACACAAACTTAAAGATTCAAGTAAACCATATATTGATCTTGGAAAATTAATAAAATTTTGTATCAACACCAGCTTCTTTTTAATCTAACAATTTAGTATCAAACATTCAACTACAATAATCAGATTTGAACACAGGTGGTAAAAAACGAAATAGTAAAGCTACCTACTTACCTATATAGTTTGAAGATAATGATAAGAAAAAACTAGAATTAAATGGTTAAAGAAAACAATAATGTATCGCTGAGTTGAATGAATAAAATATACATCGATTAATAAAATTCACATGAAATGAGTTAGTTTATAGCGGCTTGAGGAGTACATGTAAGTGTGTTTCTTCCTGAATATAACCTATGAAAGTTATGTGGGAGAAGTAATCAACTCTTCTTTCTCTTGAGAAAATGTTCAATGCAACGATTTTAAGAGATAACTTTAAACTTATTAAGTACATATTTCCAATCAAAACATGAATTTGATTCATTTTTCTCAAATTAACTAATTGATAAGTGAATGACCTCAACTCTTTTTTTAGATATAGCTAACGTGTTGCTTTGATTTATATACTAAACCATGTTTTGATGATGGGAAATTAATAAATTTTGTTATATCATCATCATTTTAGTCTAATATTTTAGTAAACCTAGAGTTCAGCTGTGGTTAGAGAAAATAAAAGGGTTGAGGTCTACTTTGTAATCACCTGAGATTGAGTGGGTTTAACAACACCAGCTTGTGGTTCTACTTTGTAGTTTTTTCCCAGAAAAAAGGATCCAGTATCAAATGAATGAGCAACTTGAAATCATTGTGTATATTTGCACTTAAAAACAAAACTATAATTAATCATCAAGTTGCTTTTTTTTTAATCATCAAGTTGCTATTATATTTATACTCTTATAAAAACCCTATGGGTCCATGATACATTGTTACATCATCATGCAACATATTTGAAATTATGAAACCACAAAGACAACCACAGAAATAGACATTTAAGAATTATTTGTTTATAAATTGGGAAATGATGTCAACATCAGAGCTGAATCATAACGACATTATCTTGCCATTATAAAGTCACATCCTCATTCCTAAAATCAAGAAACAGAACAAGCCCATACCCCCCACTTTTTGTCTTCTTCCATGGAGTCTTCTCTCCTTCTCCTTCCTCAATGGTCTGATCTTCCTTTAGACCTTCTTGAGTTGATCTCCGACCGCCTTAACGACGGTTCATCAGACACGGTTCACCTCCTCCGTCTCCGCTCTGTATGTGCCACTTGGCGTCACTCTCTTCCTCTCTCAAACAAAAACTATAATCCTTTGTCAAAATTTCCACCTCTCCTCCCTTTCTGGTCATCTTCATCCTCTGGCTTCTTCATTCTGAAACAGAGCAGTGTTTACAAACTCGAAGCTTCACAAAGCTGGTTGGTGAAGCTCCAGGAGACATCTCCGGGGACAATGCGAGTCTTGGATCTCTTCTCAAACGATAGACTCTGTTTCTTACCAGAGAGTTTCCCGGAAAACATCAATCTGCAGGAAGCTCATGTGAGATTGGTCCGTAGAGCTTACCGTGTGGAGTACGCAAACAAAGGTGGTGGCGAGATGTCTTCTTTCTGGTCACTAAGCTCGGACAAAGTGGTGGTCCTATCTTCAAGGGGACACTCTGCTGTAATGGCTATTCACAGCGGTGGAAAATTAGGGTTCTTGAAAAGCGGAGACGATGAAAGATGGAGAATCTTGGACAATTCTTGGAACGTGACTTACGAGGATATAATGACGTACGGAGAGAATTGCATCGTAGTGGATGATAAGGGTAAAACAGTAATTTACGATGTGGAGTTCAGGATTTCGGATTTGGCTGAAGGTTTACCCGGAGGAGGCGGTCACAAGAAGCATCTGGTGGAATGTTACGGAGGAGAAGTGTTGCTTGTGGACAAGTACGTGAAACACGTTTGGTGCAAATCTGAGTTTTCGAAGTCTGCGGTGGAGTTTAGAGTGTATAAGCTGAAGAGGGAAGAGAAGAGATGGGAAAAGGTGAGGGAACTGGGAAGAGATGTGGCTCTGTTCATTGGTGAAGATAGTTCTTTCTCCGTTGAGACTATTGACGGTGGTTTGGCAACCGGAGGAGGTTGTATATTTTATAGAGATTATAGGGATGGAGGAAGAAGCAGAGGAGTTTACAGTGACGGTGATGGTGTCTTCAATGTGGAGTTGAAAGACGCGGGAAAGTCTTGGGTTTCATACTAAGCCCAAATGTTTAGGCCCGTATGAGGTTTGGGCCTACTCGAATATCATAGTTGTGGAAACGGTTATTATAAAATTTTCTCCTTCTAACAAGCTAAGAAAGTGTATTGCTAAATTTATATTTGATGATTACATCTAACTAGGTCTGGAAAAGTAAACCGAACCCAAAAATCTAAACTAAACTCGACATAATAAAAATGAGTCTAAACTGATCTAAAACCGATATAAGTATCGAATGGATCTTGTTTTATGATATTTCGGATTATGGATTTTACCCGAACCGAATTTGAACTTAAATGAATATCTAAAAGAACCTAAAACTTCAAAATTCTAAAAAAAAATTGTATCATATCCAATCTCATTTATAATATGTATCCAAAACATATTAAGAAATTATTGAATACTTACAATAATTAATTATTTCATGAATAATTAATTAAAATACTATAATATATATTTTATTTGGTTAATGTTAATATTTTTATATTTGACAATGCATTTGAATTTTAGTTATGAATAAATTGGTTTTGAAGTTTAAACAATATAGTTGTTTTTTAAGTTTTTAAAATTTTTAAATAAGTGTTTTCTTACGTTTATAAAATTGTTAGTTGTGAACTATAATTTTTATATATTCATTATGTGTGATTTTCATTGCTTTGGTTTGTATGATTCATGATATGTTTAATGTTGTCATGTATAGTACAATAAATCTCATATGTTTTGTTTTGTAACATAACTGGATTTTGATTATATAACTAAATCTTAACTGAATCCAATTAAACCCGAATCGAAACTCGACTGGGACATGAATGTCTGCCTACATCTAACTTTTGATTTGCCTCAATTTTACTAATTTTCATTTATTTTTTTCAAAAACATTGTTAATACGCTATAAAGAGCAGAGAATTGCCCTAATTGATCCAGAGGCGGCGCGACGATATTCGAGCAATTTTTGCGATGAAGACAGTCACGGGAAGAGTTAGCAACGCGAAACCAATCTCCCTCGCTAAAGCGGCTACGCTTCTCTCCGGGTTCGTTTCCTCTGAAACCCAGGCCTCTCAAGACGTCAGCGCCTACCTCCGACGCGCCTCTGCTGCCTTCGCCGAATTAAAGAGCTTCCACAGAGAGATTCGATCGACGAATCCAAAATTCGAGCTGGGTGGAGCTAAGGGGACTGATGATTTGGTGGAAAACGCAAATGTGACCGGAGATGAATCAGTTCATGGTCGGAAACAGGATAAGAAGAAGAAGAAGAAGAGGGTTAAAGAGAACAAAGAAGAAGATGTTGTTGAGGAGAAGGTGATGGTGAAGTTGGAAGACGAGCAAAAGAACAAAGAGAGAAAGAAGAAGAAGAGCAAAGAGGAAGATGTTACTGACGAGAAGGTGAATGAGAAGTTGGAAGAAGAGAAAAAGAGCAAGAAAAAGAGGAAATTATTGTCAAAGGAGATTTGATGTTTGAATGTTGAAGACAGTTTTGGGATTTTAGCTAGAAAACTTTGTAGCTGAGTTCACTGAATTTTTCAAAACAGTTTTGTGTAAGTTTAGTAGCTAGAGAGTTCCCTTGGTGACGATTAAGATTTGATAAAGAGTTTGATTTTGGGGAATTTGCTGTTACAATTCTTACTCATCTGCATTTTTTGCAATGGTTGAGTTATTGTTGGCTTTGGTAGTCTGGTTATATTACCCTCTATTTGTCGTTACATTGTTTTGAATGCAAAGTGGCAAGTTATGTTTAGAATTTGGATCTTGAAGCTCAGCACCTGAAAAAGCTTTACTATTACCTCTAAAATGTTAAAAAACTCACCTCTGGTTAAAGACACTTGAAAGTCTGATTCTTGAACGCATAGGACTGCATAATTCATATGCAGTTTTTTTTATCAAGGATGAAGGATCATAGTCCTGTTCAACTAAGTGCAAGTACGAATCGTCTGGTATGTAAGTCTTACATGCTTTTTATCTATTACAGTGGTTCTTTGGTCTATTTCATGAACTAACACAACATTTGATTTCACAAACATTATACAATGTGAAGTTCTTCATAACGCCAAATGTTTTTTTTTTTTCTAAAGTATAGTGTGGAACAAGAAAAAAGAAAAAGAAAAAACTATGATCAGGACAAAGTAGGGACTTAAATTAGGATATCAAAATTTCTGGCCAGGAGCGATTAAGATGGTATATTGGTATCCTTCTCAAATGCTTGACATAGATCGCGTCAGCTTCAACAACTATACTTGCTCTTATTACCTTCAGATATTTCAGAATAGTTTGTCTTTTTAGTCTTGACCTTATCTGATTTTCTAAAAGTCTTCTGTATTTGAGTGGGTCAATGGGAAAGATAATAGCCCCCAATAAACGTTTGGAAGATACTCATCATACATTTTGCTCATCTCCTTGCACTCATTTCCTGCAAAATATGAGAAACATGAAACTCTTTCTTTTCCTTTCTTTCATTGCTCTCCTGTCACTTGAAGCATTCGGGAACAGCCATGAAACTGATAAGCAAGCATTACTCAAGTTCAAGACTCAAGTTTCTGAAGAGAAACAAGTTCTGCTGTCTTCATGGAACAACTCCTTCCCTCTCTGCAGATGGACAGGGGTTACATGTGGCCGCAAACACAAGAGAGTTACTGGTTTGAACCTCGGAGGATTCCAATTGGGTGGAGTAATATCGCCATTTATTGGTAACCTTTCGTTTCTCACATCACTTAATTTCTCTGATAACTCTTTTAGTGAAACCATCCCTCAAGAACTGGGAAACTTGTTTAGACTTCAACACTTGGATATGAGCTCAAACTTTCTGGGAGGAGGGATTCCAGCAAGTTTGTTTAACTGTTCTAAATTGTTGGACCTTTCTTTATATTCAAATAATCTTGGACAAGGTCTTCCTTCAGAACTAGGATCATTGAGAAAGCTTGTTACTTTAGATCTTAGTAAAAACAGCCTGAAAGGAAAACTCCTTGTATCTCTAGGAAACTTGACATCCCTCATAGCACTTTCCTTCGCAAAAAATAATCTGGAAGGAGAAATTCCTGATTCTATAGGTAGATTGACTCAAATGGAGCTTTTTGCGTTAGCAATAAACCATTTTTCTGGTGTTTTTCCTCCTGCAATTTATAATTTGTCCTCACTAAAGTTTGTGGACATGTTTGGTAGTGGTTTCTCTGGGAACCTGAGACCTGATTTTGGTAACTTGCTACCAAATCTCAAACGATTGTATATCGGGAATAATTATCTCACAGGAGCCATTCCATCAACACTTGCAAATATTTCAACTCTTCAAATTTTGGGCATGGAGCGTAACCGTCTGACAGGAAGTATTCCTCCGAGCTTTGGAAAACTACGATATTTGCAAATACTATCTCTTAGTCACAATTCTTTGGGAAAAATTTCAGCGGGAGATCTTGAATTTCTTGTTGCTTTGACTAACTGCACCCAACTGCAAATAGTAGATACAGCATACAATATGCTTGGGGGTGACTTACCTGCCACCATTGCCAATTTGTCAATGAACTTCAACATCTTACTTCTTCGAAAAAATTTTATATCTGGAAGCATTCCTCATGACATTGGAAATCTCATAAGTCTACAAGCATTTTGGCTGTCCGAAAATCTATTGAAAGGACCAATCCCAGCCTCTTTTGGGAAACTTTCGGGAATGATTGGATTTGGTGTCTATTCAAATAGAATGTCAGGAGAGATACCATATTCATTAGGCAACATCACTCGGTGAGAATCACTCCAATTGTCAGACAATAGTTTTGAAGGAATTATTCCTCCAAGTCTTGGAAAATGTAGCTATTTGCTAGATTTACATATCCAGAATAATAAGTTGAATGGTATTATACCTCAGGAGATTGTGCAAATTTCAACCATTTTGTCCCTAAGCATGTCAAATAATTTACTGACTGGCTCTCTACCAGAAGATGTTGGACGACTTGAAAATCTTGGTATGTTAAATGTTGCTCATAATAAGCTATCTGGGAAACTCCCAAAGACTTTGGGCAAATGTCTCTCAATAAAAAAACTACATCTTCAAGGAAATTCTTTTGATGGAATCATTCCAGATATAAGTGGGTTGGTGGGTATTAAGTATGTTGATTTCTCAAGCAACAATCTCTCTGGAAGAATCCCTGAATATCTCGCAAACTTTAGCTCGTTGGAGTATCTCAATCTATCCTTCAAAAACTTCGAAGGAAATGTGCCAACATAGGGGAAGTTCAAAAATGCCACTATTATCTCAGTATCTGGAAACAAAAATCTTTGTGGAGGCATCTTGGAACTGCGACTAAAGCCATGTTCTTTGCAATCAGCAGGAAATTCAAGAAAGAAACTTGTGATTGGGGTAAGCATAGGCATATCTTTGCTTCTGGTCTTGTTCATAGCTTCTGTTTATCTTTGTTGGTTAAAAAGTAGAAAGAAGAAAAATACCAATGATGCAACTCCTTCCACCTTGGGGGCTTTTCATGAAATGATAAGTTATGGAGATCTTCGAAATGCAACAGATGGCTTCTCTTCGAGTAATTTGATCGGGTCAGGCAGCTTTGGTACTGTGTTTAAAGCGGTTCTCCCTGCAGAGAACAAGGTTATTGCTGTGAAAGTTCTAAATATGAAGAGACGTGGAGCAATGAGGAGCTTTATGGCAGAATGTGAATCCCTGAAAGACATTAGACATCGTAATCTTGTGAAACTGTTGACAGCTTGTTCGAGTATTGATTTCCAAGGAAATGAATTCAGAGCTCTAATCTATGAGTACATGCCAAATGGAAGCTTGGATATGTGGCTGCACCCAAAGGAAATGGAAGAGATTTCTAGGCCCTCAAGAACATTGACACTTTTGGAAAGGCTTAACATAGCGATAGACGTGGCTTCTGTTTTGGAGTATCTTCATCTTAATTGCTATGAAGCTATTGCTCATTGTGATCTGAAACCTAGCAATGTCCTTCTAGACGATGATCTAACCGCCCATGTTAGCGACTTTGGTCTTGCTCGGATCCTTCTAAAATTCGACCAGGAAACCTTCATCAACCAACTTAGCTCGGCTGGAGTCAGAGGAAGCATCGGCTATGCGGCACCAGGTAAACCTATCACACATATAATGTTTGAATGAAGAAAGCTTATACTATTTTCGTTTCCGAAAATAAGATTTTCTTTTCCGAAAATAAGATTTTCTGTATTTTTAATTATTTACAAAGATATTTTTTTTATATTTTAGGTACTTTTGTATACTTTAAAATTTATTAATCTATACTATTATTTAAGAAGTAAATTTGCTGAGTTGTCATGTTCTCCATAGATTTAGGTAATTTTATTTATTTATCATATTTTAGTATTTATATATAATTTATTTATAAATAAAACGAATTTATACGAATATATCAAATTTTAAAAAATAAGATTATTCTTGTGAATTATGTTTTTATCTAGAAATATATTTTATATATAAAACTTAAAATTTAAATTAAGATATAAAAATTATTATATAACTAAAACGAATTTTTATTAAAATTTATATCTTTATAAAATAAGATAGTTCTTAAGTATTATGCTTTTATGTTGAAAATATATTTTCATATTATAAAACTTTAAATTAAGATATAAAAATTATATTATTAATAATTGAATATAAATAATTAAAACAATTATTTGAAAAGTGAATTTGTTAATTTTTCTCCATGATTCTAGGTAATTTTGATAATTATTTGATGTTTCTACTATAAAACTTAAATTTTAAATAAGGATATAAAATATATAACTATAACATATTTATATTAATAATATTATATTTTTAATATAACATAATTCTTATGTATTATGTTTTTATCTTGAAAATGTATTTTTATATATTTAAAACTTAAAATTAAGATACAAAAATTATCTTTAAAAAAAAAGAAAAACGTGTTTTGAAAAAGAAAAGATATTTCCATTATTTATTTCGTGTTTGGCTACATCGTTTTCTTGTTTATTAAATTTTATAATTATTAGTATATATACACATATATTAATTAGATTTATCTTTACACTGAAATATTAAAACATATTCTAATAGAAAATAAGAAAAGTGATTTATATTTGTTTTAAACTTAATATGTCATGGCATATTTTAAAATAATTATTAAATTTATTTTACTATTAACATACCAAAAAGAGTAATATATGCAATAACAATAAATTTGATTTATATTTTTTAACGTGACATTTGTGGTAGTTTCACTTTTATATTTATTTTTATTTTTCAGTTGCAAGAATAACATTTATTTGTTATTTAAGCTGAAATCTTTGAATACTATTATTTAAGAAGTAAATTTGCTAATTTGTCAACTTCTCCACGATTTTGTTATTTGTCATATTTTAAATATTAATATATAATTTATTTCTAATTAAAACAAAGAGCAAATTTGCTCAATATACCAAAATAAACTCAATATTAGGGATTTGCCATGGTTTCAATGGAA